CCAACCCAGACTTCACATCTAAATCTGTACACCTACACACTCCAACCCAGACTTCACATCTAAATCTGCTACACCTACACACTCCAACCCAGACTTCACATCTAAATCTGCCACACCTACACACTCCAACCCAGACTTCACATCTAAATCTGTACACCTACACACTCCAACCGAGACTTCACATCTAAATCTGCTACACCTACACACTCCAACCAAGACTTCACATCTAAGTCTGCTACACCTACACACTCCAACCCAGACTTCACATCTAAATCTGCCACACCTATACACTCCAACCAAGACTTCACATCTAAGTCTGCTACACCTACACACTCCAACCCAGACTTCACATCTAAATCTGCTACACCTACACACTCCAACCAAGACTTCACATCTAAATCTGCTACACCTACACACTCCAACCCAGACTTCACATCTAAGTCTGCTACACCTACACACTCCAACCCAGACTTCACATCTAAATCTGCCACACCTATACACTCCAACCAAGACTTCACATCTAAATCTGCTACACCTACACACTCCAACCAAGACTTCACATCTAAATCTGCTACACCTACACACTCCAACCAAGACTTCACATCTAAATCTGCCACACCTACACACTCCAACCAAGACTTCACATCTAAATCTGCCACACCTACACACTCCAACCAAGACTTCACATCTAAATCTGCCACACCTACACACTCCAACCCAGACTTCACATCTAAATCTGCTACACCTACACACTCCAACCCAGACTTCACATCTAAATCTGCTACACCTACACACTCCAACCCAGACTTCACATCTAAATCTGTACACCTACACACTACACACTCCAACCCAGACTTCACATCTAAATCTGCCACACCTACACACTCCAACCCAGACTTCACATCTAAATCTGTACACCTACACACTCCAACCAAGACTTCACATCTAAATCTGCTACACCTACACACTCCAACCCAGACTTCACATCTAAATCTACACACTCCAACCAAGACTTCACATCTAAATCTGCTACACCTACACACTCCAACCCAGACTTCACATCTAAATCTGCTACACCTACACACTCCAACCCAGACTTCACATCTAAATCTGTACACCTACACACTCCAACCAAGACTTCACATCTAAATCTGCTACACCTACACACTCCAACCCAGACTTCACATCTAAATCTGCTACACCTACACACTCCAACCCAGACTTCACATCTAAATCTGTACACCTACACACTCCAAACAAGACTTCACATCTAAATCTGCCACACCTACACACTCCAACCCAGACTTCACATCTAAATCTGTACACCTACACACTCCAACCCAGACTTCACATCTAAATCTGCTACACCTACACACTCACACCCAGACTTCACATCTAAATCTGCCACACCTACACACTCCAACCAAGACTTCACATCTAAATCTGCTATACGTTTTCATCCAAGCCCTGTCTGCAGATAGAGATCTGTTGAATTCAAGTTATCACCGGAGGCTTCATGTGAAATAACAATGCATGTATGATCTTTATATATATTTTAACTTTTCCTATCTTAAATACTTTTGTTGGCTCATATGGATGAACTAACAAGAGAAGAATTACTTGTGGAGAGAACCATAGTGCTAGAGAACCTTATTTGGCTGGATATTTTACGTTTTCATGTCCGATCTGGACTAATAAGATAATTGCTTTGATGACTGGCGAGTGCGTTTCCACAGCCCCATCCACTACCAGACGTTATTTAATTGGGTGTCTGAGATTCACTGAACGGTGCCCGTTATTCTGATTCAATGCACACGGTTTAAATATTCATTTGTGTAAATTTCCTACTCAGGATGGTTTTATCCTGACTTCTGTAGCCTCCTGTCTGTCATATTGAAGCAGGGACTGATTGAAGACTGTAAAGCTACGAAGTAACAAGCTGTATTCTTCATTTCCTCCCAGTCTTGTCCCAACTTCAGTATCATAACATGTACATGGCGTGGTTTGAGTTACATCCTATACAATAATTATCATGTCTACCTCAGCAAATAGATATGAAAATCAATGCATCTATTGTGTAACATCCGCTACTTCAATCATTTATTCCTTAGGTTGTAAGCATTGTACCAATAAACCTAGGTATCCGGGCAACGAACACTAACATCTCATTACCTGGACCTATATCTTAACAAGGACTAATGGCAGATTTAAGACTGACCAGAAAAAATACATTAACGACTTGATCAGGTTAAGTTCTCCTAGAAATCAATCTTTGGTGATTACATCATGTTACATCAGGCTCCGAGAAAGATCAATACCAGTTTATAAAGTCTGATACCATCATGCATGTATCCTGTTGTCATTGTAATGTCATATCGATATGAAGTAACAAAATTTCACTTTTTTGACAAAATCACCAACGGAAATATCAATTTATCTAAAGAAAGGCGAACAAAGGTGCAAAATTATGTTCAGGTATATTCAAGTATCTACCTACATGTTTCTAAAATTTGATAAATCAATGCCAACATTTAACAAGGAGATTGGTTTACAAAGAAATTGTGTAAACAATACAAAAAAGAAGACCGGGTGTTACTAACGTCAATCACCATTACAGATATTTTACTGTACAGAAGTTGCATAACTTTATATATTTTACAACAATTGCGAAACAAGTTATAGCAACTTGTACTTGTACTTTTGTTGCCCGGATGTAAGCGCACGAGGGGTTTTACTGTGTGGGGATACCGGAGTACCTGTGGAACACCCACGTGGTCGGAACGTAACCCCCTGTCTTTTCAGGGGAATCGAACCACGGACGGCTATCAATGCACAACCCGACCACCCTGTACTTTGTTGAAGACTTCTGGCGTTTGTCCATTATCAATTTTCAAATCTTTAAATGAGCTTCACACCAATTCAGCGCATAAAACTTTTTTTCGTGAAGAAATTTTGAATTCATTACACAAGTACTAACATGGTTATCTTTCTCCCTTTCCTGCATTCAAATATTTGCATACATGTGTACCTTACGACAAATGATTTATTATATTGTCTGGATATTATATAATATATGTAAATTTCAATGACAAATAACAGACAATGTCTAGCCGAGATCTCCCCCTGATGTAAACAGCATGTCCCTTGTGTAGAACGAAATCTACATCAAAACGACAAGTTCAGTTGCTAATGCAACAGCGAGTAAATAAACAATACAGTTATTAGTGTGTGTTTGACATGTAAATACCAGCATATCTCACCTGTACAGGTGTGCCAATACGACATAGCAGTGGGGAGGTGGCATATATGTATATGTACTTATGTAGATGCAAACAATGGGTAAACGTCAAACAATGAATGTAAATTCGACAACGCCTTCAGCTAAAACATTTAAGATTGTTGATAACTCTAAAATACAGGTATACATATTGTAAAGCTTACGCAGTGAGATGAAAGTAGAAATTAGTATCATGAAGTGAAAAGCTGTGAAATAAGAAAGAATTTTTGACAATCATTGAAAAAAAAAAAAAACCACTTTGAAGTCAATAAGACACATCCAGCGAAGACAATGCCTCGTTTGTAAAACACAAACTCCAAACTGGTTTGCAGATTCTACAATTACACTAGTACCACCATATCCCCGACTTCGGTTCATTTGTATTGTACGATAACAGTAATATGAGCAGTTTAAAGATTACCTCCAGAGGACAGTAAACGAACTATGTCCGATGTTTATGTGGGAAACAGCCAAGGCAGAGATCATGATATCTCACACAATACTTGTGATATGTTTGTTTGTCTACAGCAACCCGGCATGTGTCTCTTTTGCCTAATATTCATCAGCGCCATTTAGATGACAATTATACAACCAGTCCCTTTTCACCTGATGAATATTTGGAGTCGTTTTTTAAATTCTGACGGTATTAAGCTCATTTTTTTTCAATAGACCATACCATGGTACGTAATATCTTTAGGAAACACTTGTTTAACCTGCCTGGTGGTTAAAAGTTCTGAAATTGGTGTCACGGAAAAATGATTTCTTTTCTTTTGAAGTACATATATCCAACTAATTAAAAAAGCGATTGAATTTGCCTTTTTAAGCGGTTCATCCGACCAGATTTACCCAACGATTCTGATAAATACATTTTTTATACTTATCTATTCGTTTAATGCGGATTTTGTATGTGTCATGGACGTTTTCACACAGTTCAACATAGATTTACAGATTTACGCCGTTGTCTAATTCATAAACATTTCAAATTTCAATCAGTAGTGTTGCTCTAGTCATGTGAATATATCATGATTGTTATAGGCTGGTACAAGGATATACCACGAGTTCGATCTCTGGCTGTAAAAACAGAGCTTATATTGTGTATGCCTGTAAGCTGTTTGTAAGGCTTAAAATCGAGCTCAGGTATGTCTTTGTGGAAAGTAAATTCGTCCCTGTTTAACAGGTGAAAAACATTGGTAATCACTATCGATCAATATAATACATATGCTGTAATGGCGGCGTGTTTTCTATATATACATACATATAACTGTATTGTATGTGATATCCACATGTGCGTTTTACCCACACAGGTAAACACTACTGCTGGAATTTCTTACAGACTGTAAACAATACATAGGTATTAATATATACATAAGTAACATCTAAATCGCCTGTTTGAAGGGAAAAAAGGATAAATGATACACAAGACACAAGTACAAGTACAATGGGAAAAAAGCTTGTACATCATCTCTCCGACACGTAAAGTGACATCTGTGTTTATAATGTGTTGTATTATACAACGAGCAAGCTCCGCGTACCTAAGGTCGTGTCTGATTATTAAAAGTTTTTATAAAACTTGTATCGGTGAACAATTAAGTCAGAACTCAAACTCACCACAATCTAAAATTATTTCTATGTGTTACTCAAAAGAAAATCGATGTGGTTTTGAGATCAATAATCGACTTTTCAAGGTGAGTGCAAAACAACAAGCAAGATCCAAAAAAATTTCCTACTTTGATTTCTTTTTATCATAATGTCGATTTGATTTTACAGATGTTATCAAATCTTCCTCCCTTATCCTTTGTCTTCCTTCTCCTCCCCTCCTGCCCTCCTTTCTTCCTCCTTCTCTTCCTTCTCCTCTCTTCTTCCTTTCTTCTTTCTTCCTCCTCCTCTTCCTCCTCCCCCCTGTCCCCTTTCTTCCTCCTCTTTCTCCTTTCCTCCTTTCTCCCTCCTCCTCCCCCTCCTGCCCTCCTTTCTTCCTCCTTCTCCTCCTGCCCTCCTGCCCTCCTTTCTTCCTCCTTCTATTCCTTCTCCTCTCTTCTTCCTCCTTCTCCTCCTGCCCTCCTGCCCTCCTTTCTTCCTCCTTCTCTTCCTTCTCCTCTCTTCTTCCTTTCTTCTTTCTTCCTCCTCCTCTTCCTCCTCCCCCCTGTCCCCTTTCTTCCTCCTCCTTCTCCTTTCCAGATTCCTCACTGTGACTGGAGTTCAGTCGTTGGTTCGTCCGTTCTTCTCCTCCTGCCCTCCTTTCTTCCTCCTTCTCTTCTTTCTCCTCTCTTCTTCCTTTCTTCTTTCTTCCTCCTCCTCTTCCTCCTCCCCCCTGTCCCCTCTTCCTCCTCCTCCTCCTCCTCCTCCCCCTCCTGCCCTCCTTTCTTCCTCCTTCTCCTCCTGCCCTCCTTTCTTCCTCCTTCTCTTCCTTCTCCTCTCTTCTTCCTTTCTTCTTTCTTCCTCCTCCTCTTCCTCCTCCCCCCTGTCCCCTTTCTTCCTCCTCCTTCTCCTTTCCTCCTTTCTTCCTCCTTTTCCTCCTGCCCTCCTTTCTTCCTCCTTCTCTTCCTTCTCCTCTCTTCTTCCTTTCTTCTTTCTTCCTCCTCCTCTTCCTCCTCCCCCCTGTCCCCTTTCTTCCTCCTCCTTCTCCTTTCCTCCTTTCTCCCTCCTTCTCCTCCTCCTGTCCTCCTTTCTTCCTCCATCTCCTTCTTTCATTCTTTCTTCCTCCTCCTCTTCTTATCCTCTTTCTCCACATTTCTTCCTTCTTCTCCTCCTCCTGTCCTCATTTCTTCCCCCTTCCCCTCCTTTCCTCCTTTCTTCCTCATTCTCCTCCTTTCCTTCTTTCTTGCTCCTCCTCCTGTCCTCCTCCTGTTCTCCTTTCTTCCTCCTCCTTTCCTCCTTTCTCCCTCATTCTCCTACTGTCCTCATTTCTTCCTCCTTTTTTCTCCTTCCTTTCTCCTTCTCCTCCTTCTTTTTCTCCTTCCTTTCTCCTTCCTTCTCCTTCTCCTCTTTCCTCCTTTCTTCCTCGTTTTTCTCCTTTCCTTCTTTCTTGCTCCTCCTCCTGTTCTCCTTTCTTCCTCCTCCTTTCCTCCTTTCTCCCTCATTCTCCTACTGTCCTCATTTCTTCCTCCTTTTTTCTCCTTCCTTTCTCCTTCCTTCTCCTCTTTCCTCCTTTCTTTTTTTCACCTCTCCTTCTTTCTTGCTCCTCCTCCTGTCCTCCTCCTGTCCTCATTTCTTCCTCCTTCCCCTCCTCTCAGGTCTGGAAAAATTAAGAGTTTAGGACTTATTTGTAACCAATGTTATTGTGTTCTTCAGTCAATGTAGCAATGACAGATCAAATTTTAATGATGTCTGAGTTTATTGAATAATTTTTTTATTTCGTTGTGCAAGTTTATTGTTGTAGTGTGTTATTTTCCTTCTCGGTGTGTTTATAGCCGAAAGGTATCGCAGCTCATTGTTTTAATTGTTTGTTGGTTTGTAATTTCTGTGCATTTAGTTATGATAAATATTTAAAATACGATATACACAGTAATCCTTCAAAGCAGCATATCTGACGAGTTATTATTTTATATTTTATTTTTTTTTTTTTTTGGGGGGGGGGGGGATGATATATTATATATCACAGATAATGTAAATTTCATGGGGGATTAAACGTTAAATTTCTTCCGACCAGACCAGCCAGCACGTGACCGCTATTGATGTTTATTTTGATTAACATTCACAACTCATGGGTTTGTAACTGGTTATAGAACTTTCATAATATCGTAATTTACATATGCTTGACACGGCCTCTTAAACTCTTATGTAGGACCAATATTTAAATGTCACGAGGAATATAATGAAAACTCATTTGTAAGATCTGAATATCAATGGTACATGTTGTTTATATAACCTCACCATACAGTGTATTACTACACATGGATAATATTACTATATAAACATGACAACACTTAAAAAAAAGAAGAAAGGTTTTTGTATATCTCTCGTATAACTTTTCATGGAGATGTAATAATGGTAGTAACAGGTGATGTTGGTGTAGTATGACATCTTTTGTTTCTCTGCGTGTTATAAAACGTGTATGTGAGCATATTTATTAGTAGTTTTGTCTTAAAGTATTAACAATATGTATGGTCTACTTCTCATTCTGTCTCACGAAAATTGTACATCACACAACCATCGAAATGAATGATCTGAATAGCCTCTGATCACACTGTAATATGTCATGTTTGATACTTATGTATATTAACTTAGAGTTATGTTCTTTGACGTCTTTACAAGGTTAACCTGTGTTGATGATAGCCCCGAACCTATGTTAAAGTTCAACTGTTTACCGTAAAGCGTACAAAAGACCGCTGAGCCTTGGTTTATACCTAATGTGTGTTTGGTGATGATTTCAATAGTTCATATTTCATTACAAAAGCCAAACCTGAAAACTTTAAACTGGTAAAGTCCGACATACCAAATGTTAAAGGTTGACTTACGCAAGAATTTTATATTTATTAACGTGTAGAACAGGTAGCTCATTAACATTCACCTATGTGACAACTAGGCGATGACAAGTTGGATCGTCACGGAGTCGTGAATTTGTCATTTTAAATGAAGATTTGATGGATCAGAGATAGGTATAGACTTAACTAAAACACTGACGAGTGGCGTAGATCGTATCCACTGGGGCGAGCCGTGTATAGAACTGTCTAAATCCAAGGTATAAGTGTCACATTTTAAACTCCCCGCACAGCACCCCTGTACGACCCAGTTAAAAACGGGGTAGGCAATGGGCCGCCAATGCATTGTAAACCGGTTTGGGATTATGTACTCTCTGTGTAGGCGCTGAGCTGTTATAGCTCCACTGACTGTTGAACGACAAACATGTAATTGGTATATCTCTGTTCTATTCGTCACAGGGTTCTTAGCTCATGGTTCTGGACACGATTGTGTGATCATCTGGAGCGAACAAGATTCGCCGGAGCTGCTACTTGGACACATACCAGTCACAGATAACAGGGCATAGAGGAAACATAACCATGGAGAAAAAAGTCTACCAACTCGGCACCTGGCACGATGATACCATTCTTGACAATGTGATTAATGAAATGGCCAAGCAGGTTAGAGCTGGCAAAGGAACTAAGGTCAAACTGACCGTCACTAAACATGGAGTGACAGTGATTAAATCTGCGGCTCTGACAGGTAAACAAATGACAGACTATCTTCCAATAGAAAACGTTCATTTTATAACCGTTAACAAGTATCATCCATCATGTCTGTTGGTCATCGGTAAAGATCACCCTACTAAGTACCAGATTTTGGCATTCAGATGTGCCAATGGCCTGGACGCCGGCATGTTCGTCAAACATTTCAAGGACATTAAGCGTCAATCCAACCCAGGAGAGGGATATAACGTTGAAACGAAAAAATCTCATGAAGGTGAGAACTGGACTCTTCGTTCTAAAAACCAAAACAACAACAACCGCCAGTTGAGTGCGGTCGTAGACATGCATACAGAACGATCCAAGGTAAATGGAGATATTCATATTCATATGAATGGTGGGAGTCATCAGGAAAATGGTGTGGCTAGAACATACATCAATCCAATAGCAGACGAGAACCCTCCATCAGTGAAAACTGAGGAAATTACGCATGCGCATACGACAACTTCCGATAAAGTTGTTGTTCATGAGAAGCACGTTGTGCATCATCGCCACCTGTCAGATAATGTGTCTGAGGCATCTGAAACATCACTTCGGGACGAATTGGATGTCCTTTCACAGGAACTGAGGGAAATCAAGTTTATGCTGGAGAAATCCACCGGAATCACCCCCGAGGAGTATCAAAAATCTGTTGTTGTCACCCCAAGGAGGCAAGAACACACTACATCTGAAGAGGTTATTGTGACGAGGACGATTGAAAAACCAGACACTGATGTGGTTGTGAGGAGGGAAGAAACTACACTCCATTCTCAGAGAAACGGGGAGGTAAGACATCAAATTATCACCAACGGTAAGATCGAGCGCGCAGCGTCTCCTAAGATGGAGGGGGAGGTTAGAGTGACTGTTCCAGACTATCGGTCCTCTACGGACTCCACTACTAGGATTTACAGCACTGCCGAAACCCCACGAGTCCAGCCCGACGAGGGAGACAACGTTAACTATAAATCATGGGGAGGGGATAGACGTTCTGTGGTCAGACCCCAGTCTAATTGGAGAGATGAGGTGGTCTTAAGACAGAGTGTCCATGGCCGCACGCGCCCACGGTCAGCAAGGTACAGCTCATCTAGTTACGCCAGTGTGTCCGGTAGTGTACGATCCTCACGCGCACCGAGTGCATACGTGTTGACCGAACACACCCGTCATCCTGGTGGCCATCACACACTCCCAGCCAATCGTGGGGGTAGTTACAAACGCTTGCACGTGGCAACCACTGTCCACAAACCCATAGAAAAGGTGTACGGACGTCACTCAACCTACGGGGGTAAACCAATTCTCATGGAACGTCCGTCAGTTGTGGACTACAACCAGAACAATTTTGAGAAATCGCACCACCACAACCTACATGACTCTGTCATCATTAGGACATGAACAAGTTCGTCAGATGTCAACTTAACATTTTGTGATAAACAATGGACACCAGTTTTAAGTTGAACCAAGAGCAAGGATTTATCACCTGCCGTCGTATAGGGGAGCAGGCCGCTTTATATATATTGTTTTCAACAAGTTAATACATACGTATCATATATGTGACAGGAGCTGTCAGCTCACGTACATTTGTACAAATTAATTTGCATACAAACCAGTGAAGAGAAAATAAAAACTTTGAAATAGATGAATCGTTGCCAGAGGTAAAATCCTACATATGTGTCATCAACATGGTTATGTGTGTAAATCTCGTGCCTTCGCCAATTTACGCGCTGCTTTCTTGTGTGTAGGTATTCGAATATTCCCTGGCATCGGATATGACGTCATAGTGTCAAAATGATTTTGCAGGCTTTATATTCGCTATTTCATTTGTTCGAAATCCTCATGAGATACTTAAATGTATTTTTTCAGATGTCTGAGATATTTTTTTTTCTGAAAACTGACAGTGATATTAAGTGAAGAATCGACTGGTTACCATGGAATTATATCTGGAACTATCTATTTTTATCTACATTGACCCAGTTTATTTCACTCTAATAGTTTCCATGAGTTTGTGTAAGCAGTTTCATATCGGATATATTCAATAATAAATCAATTATATTCATAATATATAAATATATATATGATATTATATATATGAACGGGATATATGTGTCGCCTTATTTCAATTATATGACGTTTACATTGTGGAGAATGACCAATGGAACTTGTGTATTACAGTAGACAACATTTATAGGGCATTCAAACGATGTATAAAGGATTTTCTGTTTTAAGAGGACGGGGCCACCGTTGTGATGTCAGGACAATTTGTACCATACGCCATCTTATCATCAACGTCATGCTCTGATAAAGATTGACACAACACTTTAGCAATCGGTTCATGACAACAATGCTCTTCGGAATATTTCGTCGTGCCTTCGGAATATCTCTAATTAATGCAAAATCAAAACAATCGAAATACAATTACACAATCGGTTGTGTAAGTGCAAACATGTGATAACACACCAAACCCGATGTGACACTGGACACGTTTTTGATCAACAGAAAATGAAACTGTTCACAACAAACATTCCATTTATAATTGTATTTGTCTTTATTATCAAATAAAGTGAGACGAAAACTGCCAACATCTGTTTAGTGTACTTATCATGCAGTTGTAATGGTTATATATGTATATATTTGGTCTGTATAACTGCTGTATAATTCTACTGAAATCAGGTACGAGTTAGGACCTGTACGAGTTACGAGTGACATGACGTCATATAGGTTGTGACGTCATAATCTAACAACTGTTGTGATGTCATAATTCTAACAATAGTTGTGTCGTCATCAATCTAACAGTAACTTTTGTGACGTTTTAAATCTAACAATAGTTGTTGTGTCGTCATCAATCTAATGATTGATGTTGTGACGTCATAATCCTATCAATGGCCGGTGATTGTTGTTGTGATCGTTTTTCTCAAAGTACATTAAATGTGATGAACCAATATGTATTTTTATATCAAAGAGAAGTGTGGTTCAATATTCTTACAGAACATAACTATAACTGATAGGAATTTAAGTAAATACTGAAGGTAATTATTATAACAGCCTTTGAATTGTAGATCTAGATATATACCATAACATCGCTAGAAGACAATAAGATGTTCAGATGAGCGTCGATAAAGGCGATCATGTAGGATTTTATCGTTTACCTGAATGAAGTTATCAAAAACTAGATTGACATGCCAGTTCTTGATACTGTGTAGACTAAATAATTCATTTCCATAACATTTTCCAGTCTGTACATTTTAAAACCTATATGCGTGTTTTTATCAACGATTTGTCATACAAAATGACAAATGACAGCTGTCGTATTTAGAGTACTTCGTTATCTCTGGGTTTACATCTCTGACGTCATCAAAGTTTTGATCGCCGTAAATGTTAAATGTTGATATAATATTCAAGCATACATATAATATTGCCATGCTGTTAACTGAGCAATTTTTCCTTTCCTTTATTTAGAAATCGGATGAACGCTTAATATTGATTAATTTTAGACGATCATGAGAATAAACGATATGAAAAAAAGTATGTTAAATGTAACAAATATTCAAATACTTATATATGTCCATACGTAGCCATATTGTACTCATGTCAAACTGTTGTAATATCTTACCTGGTAAGTAGAGAATCTAATGAATTCTTCTCTTATTAGAATATATAGACATTTTCAGTATATACTTTGGTTATTCACGTGATTCAGATTATACCCTATTCTAAATTAAGAAACAGACAGACAAACTCACATGCCTTGATTTCGAGAGATATATGTTAAATGTTCGTAAGTATACCTGTTGATCATGTCGTTGTTTACATGTTTTCATGTGAGAACATGACATTTCTTACTTGGATTGACCAAGACTTACATGGCGGTGTCGTCGATGAAGCAGAAAAACGCTCACTCTTCTGGAACACATGGTCTTATTCTAATTGTACGTTTTAAGGTGTCTCCACGTACATTTTTGAGCTTTGAATTTGATTTTGGAGTGTGATTTTGTTGACATGTGGGAGTTTTCTGAGTTATTTTGTTTAATTAGATATTGTTTTTCATTGTAATTGTATATTAACTCAACCGACACTGAAAAAAATAATTCAGGCTCCGGATTTTGGTTAGGCAACGAAAGATAATTATACTGAAATGTTTGAATTTTACATAAATCATCATATTATATCATGGCTCTACGTTTGACTCCAGGTAATTATACTCTGGTGGCCGACCAATATACAATGTGTCGGTCCACAATCAAAGCAATAAATATTTGGAATTGGTTGTCCTTCTTAGTTGTGACAATGATAACGACCGGCCATGAAGTCATTATTCACTTTGATTAAATTTCTAATTTGAAGCTTTTGTGACCCAATGCCACGACGACAATGCCGTACGTCAAACATAAATTATATTTCCAACAGGTAAAACTGGTGTGTGATACCTAGGCTATCCAACTTTTCTGTAGACATATTGGAATTACCAGACAATTGATTTTACAAAGAGTGGGGTCTCCTTCGATTTGCATTCGTATTTACGAGGCAGTAACTTTTTTGTTAGAATATTTGGCACCAACACATACGTAAACAGTACCTGTTTGACTTAAAAAGTAATTGATTTCATCGACACGACATAAATTATCAGCATTTAGATTGAATTCTTTCAGGTACCATTCGGTCTAGTAACACGTCATAGCAGGATAAATAATGTAAGAGACATATATGTTTTAAAATGGTGACGTGTATTAGGATTGCCTACCATGATTCCCGTGTCTTTATCAAAGTACACAGACCTGCAGGGCGGTGTCTGTAGCGTGTTAAACCTCATCAAACCAATTTCATTTCATTATTGATGCTATTCTTTATCGTTGTAAAGAACACATGTAAAGACTTAAATATCAATAACGCTATTGAGCTCTGATAGGGCTAGGTAGCATTTGCATGTGATCATTTCTGCAGATCTCTTATAATGAGCCTTAATTTATTCAAAACATGCGACGTTATAGAGTTTCAATGGCACATCTCCCATTTAACGGCATGCCTGCATATAAATCGATACTTTTCCACGCCAATTTTCCTTCTTAGGGACGAGAAGTAAAGTAAAGTTCAACATGATGCCGTGAAAATGTTGGCCGTGTTTTCTTTGAGTATTTCTGGTGATTTTTTTGTCTAACTTAGATGATACGAAAATAAACAAATCAAATTATTCATTTATTTATTTGGGGTTAAATAAATTTAGCTACTTTCGATATTACTTAACGCCTTGTAAAGGATACAAATAAAACCAGCAATGCAGTTCGTGTCAAGGACATATTTATTATACTTAAATGTTTTTATAAGTGATGTGGACCTTTAAAGTGCTACTGTGTGTCGCGAACTCTACACAAAACTAGTATCCAAAGAAAAACAACAACAAAGAAATCCGAAAGGTCACTGCGTGAGAGCCACCATGACCCGATCACGTTCAGCGATCAAATAAACTCTTGACATGAATATATATTTCCCGTGTTGTTAAAACACTGTGAAGGATATGCTTGATTCATTGAAAAATGTTTGGAAGAAACGATATTTTGTAATGTATGATCGTTGAATTCCTATGTTAACACACACAAACGTGAACTATGAGCGATGAATACTTTGACAAAGCAATTGTTCGAAGACTAAGCTTTTATGGGGCACAAACCTCTTCTGTTTTGTGTAAAGGAGTTTCAGAACTTCCCGTGTTTTTTTGTAAAGCATTGATATGAGTTATCGCAAATGTAAATATCCGGACGATGTTTTTTCCTTCACATTTTCTGAAATCGAAAAAAATGTGACTCAAGTTCAAGTGAAATCTTTGATGAATAAATATTAGATAATTATTTGCATCTAAATTTGTTGATGAAATATTTGACCAAATGTTCATCAATCTGACCAGGCGTCGAAACTAGAAATGTCCATGTACAGGCCGAAGTGGTTTATAGACTTTTTATTTTGGAGCGAAACGCTAAAAGAGAGGATGACGAAAAGACGTGTGACTGCTACTATAAGGCTGACACAGTTTACGAAGTGTGACTACTACTATAAGGCTGCCACAGTTTACCAAGTGTGACTACTACTATAAGGCTGTCACAGTTTATGATGTGTGACTACTACTATAAGGCTGTCATAGTTTACGAAGTGTGACAATTACTATAAGGCTGTCATAGTTTACGAAGTGTGACTACTGCTATAAGGCTGACACAGTTTACGAAGTGTGACTACTACTATAAGGCTGACACAGCTTACGATGTGTGACTACTACTATAAGGCTGTCATAGTTTACGAAGTGTGACAACTACTATAAGGCTGTCACAGTTTACGATGTGTGACTACTACTATAAGGCTGTCACAGTTTACGATGTGTGACTACTACTATATGGCTGACACAGTTTACGAAG